CAGAACTCATGACACGGACTATTAATTACTGGCCCCATGAAGCCATTCCCTCCCCCAGTTAAAAGTATAAACAAAATTAACTTTTTTTTCCCTTTGTTAAGGTGTAAAATCCATTCCAAATGGGTAGTTTAAGACTTCCTAAGGTGACTCAGAGCCCACAGTGAGAAGCAGAGAACCCGAGTCTAGAAAAATGTGATAGGTTTATTTCCCAAAGAAACCAGAAATAGAAAGTCTCTAAGAACAGGAAATCGGGGATTAAACGCTGCCTGTATTTCACAACAATGTCATTGAAAAGAGGAAGCAGTTGAGTAAGGAGTTGAGTTCAAGGTGTAAGTGTAAAGACAGGACCACGTGCTTTTGCTTTCCTCTTAGTGTCTCTACAAAATGTGATTTAGTTACGAGTTGTAGCAACTTGCTATGAATGTCTGGAGTTGGGGGTGTGTGAGTCTGAAATGTTGCTGCCATGGTGATTTGGGTATTCCAGGAGTTTTGTCCTTTATTTCTTACTAAGTTTGGTATCTGGTTTCCCCTCTCCAGGAGATAGTGATATTTTGAAGCAATATTTTCACAGTACAGTGAGGGATTAAAGTTTTCATATTTCCCGCTTAATTCATTTATTATTATTTTTTAATTGAGTTATAGTCAGTTTACAATGTTGTGTCAATTTCTGGAGTACAGCACAGTTCTTCAGTCATACATGAATATACACATATTCATTTTCATATGCTTTTTCACCATGAGCTACCACAAGATATTGACTATATTTCGCTGTGCTATACAGTATAAACTTGTTTATCTGCTTTATGTATACCTGTCAGTATCTGCAAATCACAAACTCCCAGTTTATCCCTTCCCACCCCCCTCCCCAACTTAATTCATTTTTAATCAATGTTTTTTTGGAACAACTAAGCATAATATTTCCCTAGTTACTAATCAACATGACAAAATGTAAGACAATGATATATGATTAATACTAAGCTTATGTAGTAGCACATATGTTGTCTGATAAATGAAAACCAGGAAAACAAAATTCAAAGAAAGACAGAAACACAATAGCCCCCTCTCTCCCCCGATTGTCAGTTGATATTGGCAACTGTCTTGTCTTGCCCTGGTTCTTCTTTAGACTTGTCCTTGCTACCTCTGAATTTTCTCACACATGCCATGAGCCTCAGAACTCTTTAGAGTTTGGAAATGATTTGCCTAAAAAGCCATTGCAGGCAGCATCAAGCCTCAGTTCTTCTTCTAACAAGAGAGTCTCACCTAAAAAGCAAAAGTGTGTTTCCTTTTAAGTCCCTTATTCTACCTTAGACCCAATCATAAAAAAAAACTAAAATGTGCTCAGCGTGTAGTGCACACAATGTATGTAAAAATCCCATTCTTTCCGTGATTCGAAGGATGTTTCACAGCAAACTTTACTAATTGTAATCTCTACCCTCAGTCTCCATATAATCAATTTCTCTCAGGGTTAGATATTATGATTTGATTTTTTTTAAGGGTCTATACATATTCCCGGTACATGGTATGTTCAAGCACATTTAAGCCAAAATTAATGTCGTTTGACCAGGTATATGAAGTGATTCTCCCACTCCGGTCACAGATGACTGATGGATGGCTAGCAGTGCCATCCGTGCGAGCTTGGCTTTGATTTGTAGATGCCCGAGAGTTGTCTCCGCGGAGAAAATGTACAGAGGTAGCATTTCGCTTTTATGTTTTTCATCAAGCAGCTTCCTCGCGACAGAGGGAAAGGTATGAGAGTTGTTAGGGAAAGCATTCTCTATTATCAGGAGGTTGTTTCTTCAGAAGTCAGAGGCTTGTGTGTCCTGTGAAGGGAATACTAAATGAAATCCCTGCTAGAGATGCCTTTCACATAAGCAGGTTTTACAAAGCCCCCTTTGCCTCAGACAAACAAAATGGTCTTCCGCTAGCTGTTTACAATTTATTTTGTCATAGAATTCAGGAAACTTTGATTCAAAAATGTATGCTTCTGTGTACCAATACGAAATGTGCAGTATCTAAAGCATTCTTGACCAAAGAAAGAATTGCAAGTCCACACTTGGGACTGGTGTTCAGTGGTTTGTGGGATCCAGGAAATCTCACTGGAATCTCCTTCGGAGCCTGGAATCCCACCCCTAGAAGTTCAGTCCTTTGAATTAAGGCTTTGCATTTTCAGTCTTTATTGGTGTAAACCAGACCCTGGATGGGCCACATTTTAAATAATTATCAGTAATGATCCTTTTAAGAAATATTTCTTTATCAAATTTCTTTGTATCTCAAGAGCTACGTGTGAGAATGGAAGACCACACCAAATGCCATGTTTTGCTAGGAGGTAATTAGGATGACAAACCCGAAATGCCAGTGGCTCCCTAGATGGGCAGACCTTACAAACTCCAGGAAGTTAAAAGAAATAGTAGAAGGGTGTCCATATCTTAAAAGAGGTCGTGGGGGAGAAGGGGGTGAATATTGAAAATAAAGGTGCTGTGAGTAACTAGGAAACCTGCTTCAGAGTTTTCCCTAGGTTCAATATGAAAAGTTATCTTGACTTCAAGATCTCAGCTCCCCTTTCCCCAGTCATTCTTGGTAAAGGCTTTCATTTGTGTTACTGATGTCTTATGGGTGGATCCCGCCCTTTTTATTTTAATAGACTGATGCCATTTTATTGCACAGCATTTTTGATATGCATCTTCTAAACAAATACCAAGCCATAGTACACCATTGAGAATGTAGAGGAAACACTCATGAAAGGAACGCTTCCCTCTGAAAACATCTTCCCACGGCATAGGGCGTTTCTCCTGTGCTATTGGAGGGAAAGTCAATGATAATCACTAAATATAAAAATAGATAAAAAAAACAGATTTCTTCTGTATAGCACAGGGAATCAACATCTTGTAATAACCTTTAGTGAAAAAGAATATGAAAAATGAATATATGTATATATCTTCATGACTGGGACATTATGCTGTACTCCAGAAATTGACATATTGTAACTGACTATACTTCAATTTAAAAAAAAACGGTAAAGAAAGAAAGAAAGAAAGAAAGTCAGTGGATTCGGCTTCGACTCCAGCTCCTCGTTTACTTTAATTTAAAGGTCCCACTCTCAATTCTTGGAGGGGTGTTTAGGTTTCCCTCTGGGCCCCTTAAGAATCACAAGCTTCTTTGCTCCTTAACCGTTTACTTCACTGCCGTAACTGAAGCTCTTCTGCGGCTGTAATTCTTTCCTCATGTTACAGTTTCAATCAAGTATCCATTCCCTCTGGAGGCAGTCTCTGTTGCCAGTTTTGAAAAATGCCCTTGGTGGTGTATACCTTTGTGCTTCTGGTGCCAAAGCATGTCATCCTTTCCTAGCCTTCCTCTAGGTGAAAAAAGCTTCTACTCCCTTTTTGTTCAGCACACACCATGCCCTTTTCAACCTCTGTAGTGGAGAATCCTTGGAGTGTCTTTGTCCACCAGCTGGAGAGTTGGAATTCCTCATAGTTTCAGGTATTTCAGCAGTCTGCAGCACAGGTCTCAAGATAGAAGATTTAAATTTTATTCAATTTGCTATGAAATTATTGCTCACTGGAACTTATGACAGTCTATCCTTGTTAAGGATTTACCTATGGTTTATGGCATGTCATTAGAATAAGTGGTTATTTTCCAATAATGAGGCCTTCACTGAAATGCAAAGTTGAAAGGGAATTTACTTCTTACTGTAGTGGAGTGCGCTGGAAGAGATTCTCTAGTTCGACATTAAGTGAGTTTCTCTTTATTGAGTTCTGGTAACTATTTGAGATCGGTACTTTATTATCAGACTTTCTTATCCTCCCTTCATTCCCACATATACACACACAAAATCTACTTCCAATTAAAGAGGAAAGATTATTTAATTATTGTTTTACAAAAAAATTACAAACACCAGGACATATTTAGAAATAAAAGCCATCACCCTTCAACCAACATTTACTGAGTCCCCACACTGAGATGACCCCTGTTCCAGACACTGGACAAAGACCATTAAACGAGACAGATGAATTCATAACCCCCACAAAGCCTGAATTTTAGAAACTTGGTCTAGCCTTCACTTCTGATTTAAATCTATTCTGTTCTTCCTCATCTGATTATTCACTCAGGGCCTTCTAGTCTCTACCCAATAGGAGCAAGTTCTCCATGATGACAGCATCACTTTGCGTTTTAGTGCTTGGAATTACACAACATACTCTAAAGTCATCTGCCTCTGAAAGTGGTACCGGTCTATTTCATTATACAAAAATGAAATACACTGAAATTTATTATGATTTTGCTGAACATAAATCAGGAAATAGATTCCATATACATTACATGAAGACTGACATTTCAAGCCCCGTAGCCATGTGTTTCAGTAAATGTGCTTCCTTGTTCATTTACTGCTACATTTTGAATCATTGCCTCTGCCCATATGGCTGTTGATGTCTCTCCCTGCAGCCTGGATGAACCCATTTCTTTCCAAGGGCAAGAGCTGCTACAAGATAATAGAAAACCTTGGCCTGAGCTACACAAAACTCTTGCTTATTACCATGTTGTATAGAACTCAAAAAAGGAATTGATGCAGAGTCCAGTAGAGTCTTTTTTCATTTGAACTTTATTTTGTTTCATTAAAATGCAAATAAAAACACAATAACTCTCAATAGTTTTAGAAACATTTTGCTACTTTGCCATTCTCAAATATTTTCTTGATTCCATAGTATCGATTTATATATATTCTATTTGTACTTCATTTGTGATTTTTATGTTATGATTTAATGCAAGAAAAATTGCACATCTCCAACTTTATAATGAAAATTTAAAACGCTGGCTCTGAATATCCAGATATACATGTGGAGGGTAAATTTTTGAGGATTTTTGGTAACATAGGTTAATTTCAAATGTTGGGCGATCATTATGAAAATTTCCCAGGATGACCCAGAGAGTATCCGTTCGTTCTTTATTCCACTGCGGGATTTCTCTCAGAGATAAATGTCCTTCTGTGCATGTTTGTCTCTCAGGAGGTCGAGTTGTGTCGTGTTAGCAGTCAGGAGAAGCTGGGCCTGACAGTCTGTTACCGAACGGATGATGAAGAAGACACGGGCATTTATGTCAGCGAGGTAAGAAACGCCGCGGAGGAGAGATTAGGGGAGGCAGACTGTGAAGAAGGGAGTGAAATGACTCATGATGTGAAAATCCTTGGGAGGCTGGGATGTGAAGAATTGGCCATGTTCCATTACTTGTCACTTTCAATTAGGAGAGTAAATTATGTTGCCCAAGTCCTGTAATTATTATCTGCCTACTTAAGATGGGTGCTTTCACCCCAGAATCTCAGTAAGGAAAAGTGCGAAAATGTTCACATTGTCTACATTTGAATAAATCCCTATGTGTAAGTAGGAAGTCGAGCAAAGTTTTTGATCGTCAAACATCTGTCCTTCCATTCCTGCTGTGCCTTTGGTCCGTTCTGTTAACCACAGCATTGACTAATTGCTTTAAATCAAATATTCACAATAATCACATGTTTTACTCTGCTGACAGGACTGATAAATTTGAATATTCAAGAAGTGTATCCATTAATTTGTTTTATTCAGCCCCTCATCCCTTTCAAAAAGTGAGGTACTTAAATGTGAAATACCCTTTGTGCTAATTACTTAGAAAGAAATGTGAGGCAAAATTTATTAATATAGGTGTTTTTTTAAACTCCCAAAAGAATCATTTTATGAGAAGTAGCAAAGTATTATTTTTAAATTTTATACACATATGATTAAAATGTATATATACATGCAAACATATGTATATACATTATTTTTAAATTATACATACATATGATTTAAATTACATATATACATGTATACATATATATTATCTAACTCCATATATGCATGTATATATGTGTGTAAAAACATGTATGTGTCTATATATATGTATATGTGTGAGCTCAGAAGTTAGACAGACTAGATACTACTTGCTGTTCCATGCCACTGTTCCAAGTTTTCTTGGCCATGATCTTGAATATATGACATAATTTCCTGAGCCTCAGCTTCCTCAACTAGAAACTTAGGACAGCAAGGTTTATCTCATTGCTTTTATAAAGGTGACTGGAATATGGAAAAGAGAATATAAATAATGCAATCAGAAAACTACACAGCTCTAGAAACGCAAATGTTACTCTTAATCACTTTAATCAAGGAATGTACTGACTGGCTCTGGCTATGGAAAAATCACTAATGAATATTAGACTGACATAGCATGCCTCTTTTAAATCTACAGCTAAGATAATTGCTCCGGTTACAGTGAGGAAGTATAAGGAAACACCTGCAGAATTATCTTTTGTAATATGTACAGAGGTACAAATGTGGAATTTTGATTATCAGCTTGATTAGAGTTCCAAAGACAAAGTTTTAGATTGTGAATGGCTTCTACATAGGAAGCAATTGATTAATTATCCCTCATTTCCTTCCAAGAAGTCTCTAATTACTATTTAAATGTGTCAGCGTAGAACTTCACTTTTCAGGGATAGGAAGGAAGCCGCAGGAACGGAACATATGTACTTGGAAACAATGTTTTCCATATAGATCTTACATGTAATTGTAACATCTTTTGATTCTTGACTGATCACTTAAAACTCATTTATTGGATGGTACCACCTAAAAAGAAAGTCATATCTAACATCTGGATAGGATGAATCAACTTTCTGCTACATTTGAAATACTTTGCTTAAAAAAAAAAAAAGAAAAAGAAAAAGGCTTTACTGGAATAAGCTCAAATAAATTATTTGGAGCCGTCGTGTGAAATGTGATTGATGGAATTACCCCCAGTGAACTGTAGGTCATCATTCAAGTTTGGCCCATTAAAATGTTGATGAACTCTTAACAGAGCCTTAAATATCTATTTATTTTAAAATAATTTATAGTTAATATATTCACCCTATATGTAGTATTCAGTAATAATCTACATGGATAGTATTTTTTTCTCACTTTTTGAGCTACTTAGGTTATAAATCTCTTTATAAACTAATGTGCTTATAACACAGAAATCTCTTTAATAAGTATGGACTTAGAGTCTAGCTATCAGGTTTTCTCAGACAGCTAAGGAAGGATTTAAAAATCACCCTAGCAGAAAGTAAATTTCCTGGGTCCAGAGAATCCTAGTATTTAACATCAGCACAGGATCATGTCAGCTGAAGACCGTGTCTGACAGCTGGGATACAGAAATGAATGAATGGATGTTAAAAAAAAAAGGGGGGGGGGTGGAGAAAGGATAAAAGAAAGGAAAAAAGAAAAAGAGGGAGAGAAAAGTGGTCTACAAATCATATTCTGCTCTAGTCCTCTTTAATTTTATTATTATTAAATCTAAAATAACTCATTTACACTTTTAAAATCAGTGATTTCTTTTGTCAGAGAAAAAGTTGGCATGCACTCTATAAATCAATTTTTAAAAATCTGAGCCAGGTTTCTAAAAATATTTTTAAGTGCCGGGGTAGGGGGCGATCTTGCAGATCCAGTTGAAGCTGTGTGTCCTGTCCATTACAGGTAGATCCAAACAGCATTGCTGCCAAAGACGGCCGAATTCGCGAGGGGGACCGTATTTTGCAAGTATGTGGTGCAGTTCTTTCCTTTAGTTTCCTACTGCCTGTTCATCCAATAGTTTTAAATTGATTTTGTTCCTTGTAAAATGTTAGAGAAAATCATTTGTCTTTGTTTCTGGATACACCTACAAAATCAAAAGCTATCATTTAAACTTTTTTTTTTCCAAAAGTAGGGGTAGTGCCGTTTATTAAGAATGATTAGCTAATAATTAGTGATTAAGCCATAATCTCTGGACTCGGCTAACTCAACTTATCACTTACTTGGGCACTTCCCTTCTCTCTCACTGTAAGCCTGTTTCCTCATCTTAAAGAGTGATAATATTAAAACATATTGTTGCAAAGGTTAAATGTGGCTGAGCACGTGCTATGCCCCGCACAGGGCAGGGTAAGTCATAAGCATTAACTGCTGTTGTTACAGCAACAGTGCTTATCACTGCCTGCTCCGCAATAAATTAGGTCATAGGGATCTCGATGTTGCGTTATTATGAAAGTCGAGAACTCTAAAGGAGTTTTAATTATTTACAAATGTGTTGCTGGGGACGGTTGGAGGAAATCTGCTTTCTGCTCCACATGGACGTGTGAAAACATAGAGTCTGTTTAAATTTCAGTTGAACAAGAGAGATGGTGAGCACCTCTTAGGGAACAGGTAGAGCTGGAAAGAGTTCCGGGCCAAACCGGGAAAAACTTAGAAAGCCAGAGTTTTAAATCTGCCTTGACCCTGTCTGTCCCTCCTGAGTCCTCTCCCATTAAGAGTGGCTACAGAGACACACGCAGCTGCGCAGTTCTTGTGTCCAGTTTAACCCAGAATAAGCACAGAGGCCCTCTGGGGCTGAGTTTCACATCAGATCACCACTGCAAAACAGGCAGAAGTTACAAACCGTTAAAACACTGCAAAACTCTTAGCCGTTGTGACAGATCTGTAGGTCCCATCTCTCCTCACCAGATAGGAACCCCTGAAGAATGTTTCTTTAAACTCAATACATTTGGATTCAGCTGTCTACCTAGAACCAGGGCTTTAAAAATAGACAAGATGTCAGAATATTAAAACAAATGTATATATGTATATGTATGGCTGGGACATTGTGCTGTGCACCAAAAATTGACACATTGTATCTGACTGTACTTCAATTCAAAAAAAAAAAATAGACAGGATGTCATTGCAGATTTTGGGGGCACTCCCTGTGTAATTAGGAAGACAGCTGCATACACAGATGATTAAGATACAGTGTGACATTGTCGTGAAAAAGGGGCACCCATGCTGCCTTTGGCACATACCAGAGGGTGAATCTGCCGTCTCCTGCTCTTCTCTCATTTCTTTAGGTGGACACTCACCACATCACACCACTTCCCCACACCCCTTCCCTTCTCTAGTGAGAGGACACAAAACTCTTTATTCATCAAGGACCCTCTACTAAGCCTCCAACTGGGAAAAAATAAAAGTATAAATTAGTGGTTAAGCATGGTCCTACTCATTTTCAGAAAACTTCAAGAACATATCATTTCTACTTTAGTGAGCGCCCTAGGTGGTGACCCGTAGTTAAACAAAATGAGATGTGTCTGTCCCTGGATGACTCAGGAGAAGGAGAAATGAATCGAGAAACCAAGACTTAGCCTTACTTACTACTCTGTTTTCGATGTCTTTCTCACACTCACGTGAATAAATGAGTGAATGAAACAAGAATAAAAATCTGCAGTAAACCTTTGCTTGTGTATCCTCATTTGTAAATAAAGGTACTGTTTAGCATGTCATCCACATAATGAGAGCTTCAAAAGTATGTCATTAGTTTTTGATTTGGAAATCATCCTAAACGTGTTGTTCACTTTGTTAATATCTGCAGTTGAATAAACTGAAAAGGACATAACCTTCTTCTGATGCTCAGGGTCATGTTTACACCCAGGAATCACTGCACAATAGGGTAAAGTGCTCAATGGCTGAAAGGTCTGGAAGATTTTGTGCCCTCATATTAAATGACCCTGGTGGCCTACATTTCCTGTTGTATTGGGTCTATGTTTTGTCATTTTTTCTCTTGCTGTTTCCAGCTGTCACTTTTCACCATCTACTCACCACACCCTACACTTGAACTCCACTCTCACTGGCTCCCTTCCTGGTTTCCAGCTCACCACTCCCTGTAGACTAGATACACAAATACAGTTATTAAAATTACATCTATTCATTCCATGGGTAGAGTTGGATAGAAGTGAAGTGCCTGTGTCTCCAGAGATGCATACTCTATGTTTTGACACTTCCTTATTCCTGGCTCTATCGTGGACAGATAAAGTTTTCAGATAAAATATTTTCTGAATAATAAGGCATTTCTCAATGGAGTTGGTTCATCGAACACTCCATTGATTGATAAAGTGCTGTGGTCTGCCTGATTAGTTTCTGTTCAGTGACAAATACGTCACTTTTAATGAATAAATATGTGCCACATGAAAAAGCCTAGGATTCAATTCTATCTGCACACCCAGAAACCAAAAAGTCTTAACTGTGATAGTGAAACTATATTAAAGAAAATCGTGACAAAATTGTACCCATAGACAAATGGCTCCCATGTGGCTGGTGAGGAGATTATGGGATACCCTGCAATGAACAATTAATGAGTCTTCTCCCAGAGAGATGAAACTGGGAGAGAGAGAGGGTCTCTTCTCGTTCTTGAAGTTTCCTGGCTGGCTTTTATTTAGCTGGATCTCGTTAGAGCAATTGTGATTTTAATTTCTTGTTCATGATGACCTAAGCAGAGTGCTTCTACGGTCCTACCCTCATTGTGAAGCTAAGATTTTCTAAGTGTTGTGCTCTGTGGATGTTAGACATTAGATGACCTCACCCAATGGCACCACACACACAGATGCTCACAGGAGATGAATAAAGGTTCGGGGTCAGGCAGAAGAGAAACCATGACCCATCTTCATGGGAGCACGTTCTAGTGCTCATGTGCTTCTTCTCTGCAAGTGCCTGGTAGCTCTGTTTGCTATGTCATTGCCACAGGCTGGTGGTATTATGCATGCCCCCAGGAATCAATATGGGAAGTCCTTTTACAAAATTGCACTGCTGCACCCCAATGTTCATAGCAGCACTGTATACAATAGCCAAGACATGGAAACAAGCTTGATGTCCATCAACTGATTGGATAAAGAAGCTGTGGTGCATTTATACAATGGAATACTACTCAGCCATAAAGAAAGAATAAAATAATGCCATTTGCAGCAACATGGATGGAACCGGAGATCATCATTCTAAGTGAAGTAAGCCGGAAAGAGAAAGAAAAATACCATATGATATCAGTCATATGTGGAATATAAAAAAGAAAAAGAAAAAAGAAGACAGTAATGAACTCATCTACAAAACAGAAAGAGACTCACAGATATAGTAAACAAACATATGGTTTACCCATAAGGGGGTAGGAAGGGACAAATTGGGAGTTTCAGTTTTGCAGATACTAGCTACTCTATATAGAAGAGTTAAACAAGTTTCTACTGTACAGCACAGGGAACAATATTCAATATCTTATAGTAACCAATAATGAAAAAGAACATGAAAAGGACTATATATGTGTATATATATGACTGAAACATTACGCTCTACATCAGAAATTGATGCAACGTTATAAACTGACTATACCTCAATAAACATAAATAAATAAAATTTTTTTAAAAATTGCAGTGCTGAGCTAGAGAGAAAGAATTAAAGACACATACATGATCAGCTGACTAAACGGAAGAGTGCTCTGCCCTCACCTTCTCTTTGGGACAGTAAGCAGAGAGTGTTCTGTATAAGCAGTAATCTCTGTTGGCCAGAAATGTCAGTCATGCTTCTAAGGATCACTCGCGGACAACACCAGCACAAAGCTCGAACAGTGGGACAATGAGACTCCTAATAAGCTCCCGCTTTCCTTCTCTGCCCTGAACGGGTCCTCCGTGCTCCTTCCTGCTCTTTTATTTTCTTCCCTTTGGATACCTGTTTTTTCCCTCTGTCTATTCTTTCCACCTCTGTATCTCTATGCTTCACTTACCTTCTTTCTCTCCACACTAAAATATAAACACATTTGAGATAAATCTTTCCTCTTTTGCCCAAGATTCTTGGGTTTTCAGATAAGAAATTCCATAGGTGGTTGGATGCTGAGAACTCTAGTCGCCCACCTGCCTGTGGTACACTAAGACAGGACCTAAAATCGGCATGTTCAAGCCAAAAAGCTGTATTAAACCACTGCTAGGTTTTTAGGATTTTACACACACACACACACACACACACACACACACACACACACGTATGCTTGTATACGGAGATTAGGCCTAAAGTGGGATTTGGGTTGATGAATCTCTGTAATTGCCCCAAATCTCTTCTAAGCCAGATAACATCCATTTGAAAACTAATATTTACGTATGCCCATGCACAGGAAATGAGACAGATACGGTCTGGCAACGATTTTCCTCATTTGTAACAAAAGTTACATATGGCCTGTCTCCTCGTTCTCTTTCCCTCTCTTTTCTTAAAATGGAAGTCTTCCATTAAATTGTGATGACCTCACTACTCCCCTATGGCCTCGCCTTTTTTCAGGGTCCCTCACCTTTCGGTCCACGTGGTGTTTCTGAGCACAGTAAACTGCTTTCTCATAAGCAGTCCCATAGCTGTGAGCCATCGCTCAGGGACAAGAGCAGATGAAGGTGGGAAGTTCCCTCTGGCTCCATTCCTCAGTCTTCTCATTTCTTGAGAAGCATCTTGATGAAAGCTGTGGATGCATTTCTGGCCCTGATATCAATCTGGATATCAAACAAATGTCCCGAGTACAATGGGATCTACCATCCAGTTGGCTCAGGTGGCTTTTATTTTGAAAAAAGAAACAAAATTACATTTTAATGCCAGTTTTCTGTGACAAATTTATTTCATTCCACGTATGATTCTGAATGTAAATCTGCTTCTACAACATATGATCCACCCTCTCGAAATAAGAACATAATGCCAGGACTGGGGACCATAGCTCTGGTCATTCTGAGTTCACAGAGGAGACAGGAGAATCCTAACTATAAAGGGACTGAAATCATGCAAATGTTAACCACTGTACATAAAAACAGACAAAAAACCAAATTTCTCCTGTATAGCACAGGGAACTGTATTCAGTATCTTGTAATAACCTTTAATGAAAAAGAAAATGAAAACAGATACATGTATGTACATGCATGATGGGGACACTGTGCTGTACACCAGAAACTGACACATTGTAACTGACTGTACTTTGAAAATAAAAAATAAACAAAGAGACTGAAATCAAACACAGCCATATTGTTTCTCGTTGACCCTCTAAGAATTAAAAATATATATGAGAGGGATAGCTTTTAAAATAGAACCATGTTTACTACTTTGGATTTCATTGTTGTGCATGAATTTTAATACATTCACTTTGTTTTGAAGAAAGGAGTCTTTCCTTTATGGGGGATTAAAATATAAATAATCACCAGAATAATAATAATAACAACAATAGCATCAACAGTCATTGTGCCAACCTTGAGTACCTTCTGTATACCAAACACTTATTTAAACCCTTTACATATATTAACTCATGTAATCCTAAAACAGCCCTCTGAGAAAGGCATTATTATCTGCATTTTAATAGAGGAAACATAATAGTAACATTGAACTAACATAAATGAGAAATGTTTAGATTAATGATGAGTAAAATTGAGATGAAGAATTTGGAAGTATGCATATATTCAAGTGAAAAAAAAAGGTAGTGATAATTATATTTCAAACTGCAAAGGTTAAGATAAATTGTGTGAGATCATCCAATTCAATCTCCTTGGGATCAATGTGCCTATAGGAGAGGGAAGATAAACGATTAGGCCCATAACTGATAGACAAATAGATGCATCACAGATATACTGCTAAGAATTACTGTGAGACAGACACAAGCTCTCAAAACTCAAAGAAAAATAAAATTCTTCAGATCATGACAAACCACATTTAATTGGGAGTGGGGGAGGTGTGATGGAATCCATCACTGCCAATGTTTATTTGAGGGGGGAGAAAGGCCTTGAATTCATTACAAAAATAGCTTTCAGATACATATTTACCAAAAAAAATCCCCTAACATATCCTTCTGAATCATTAATCCTCAATGTGGAATCGTGTTTTTATTTTCTAATTTGATGACTATTTTTGGAAAAAGAAAATGCACTTAAAATGTATAAAAGCTGAATTCCTTGTCCACACATACGCAAGCGAAAAACTAAGGTGATATTCATTTGATCAGAGTAAGGAATTACAATGTGTGATTGTGTGATTCCCCACCCCCCTTAACTATTATTGTCTGCTTTCTTTGTTCTAAATATGAATCTAGGAATAATGATCATTTATTGTGGCACACAGTTGAGATTCCTGGGGTTTTTTCTGGATAATTACGTCTGTCCTCATGTATCAGCCAAAATCCCAGAGACCCACAAGAAGAAAACCTTAGCAGTCTACTTCATGCTTTTAAGCAGAAATTCTTAGTGGAAGATGTTAGATTAATTATTTTTTTAATCATCAATGCAGCCACGTTTTCTATCTGTTTAATTCACCAAAACAATTAATACTTATTTAGATAGAACTATTTGACCTCGTTAATTGAAATTTCTTTTCACCTATTTTGAATATATGTTATGGATCAAAAATCTTCATTGTCTCTATGGATTTGAGCAATCCATTAAATAAATCTAAACTATCCAAAGGGAAAAAAGTGCATTAATGAGAGCTAAATACATATGAACATGAACATGTTTAAAATACAAACTTTAGAAACCTTATTGTCTCTGTAGAATTTAGAAAAAAAGGAAAAAGATCTGTTTCAGATGCCACTAAAATCTTTTATATTTGACCCAAAATTTACTCAAGCTTGCTTTCTGTCACAAAGACAGTCTTATACAGAAAAAAAAATTTTTTTTTTGCTTTGTGTTAAGTTTTTTAAAATGTTAGCCTACTGAAGAGATGGGCCTTAAGGTGTTGCAGTAGTTTTGCTGTTTGCGTTAAACAGACACATCTGAGAGAGGAGCAGGAGCATTGAGGAGGATGTTACAGGTGAACTGTTCCGTCTTTTGATGAGTGAAGCCCTGAAAGCTACCCTGAGAGTGGTTTGCGGGGACTGAGTCCGAGCCACGGGCGAAGATGAGCTGATTAAACGGAAACGCGCCCCGCGGCGGCCCGGCGGCCCCGCCCGGCGGAG